TAGAAGTTCATGACATGCTCAGGGAATGGCATGTCCCGAGTGGTTGCAACATAGGGCATCTATGTCATGGCTACAAGCAACAGCAAATGCCAATGCCAAGGACTTTGGGTTTTAAGCAGATAGTCAGATTTGTGTTTTCAAAGGGCTGCACTGCAGACTATGGGTCTAGCCAGGGAGTCTGGTGAGGAGACTGGTGTGATAGATTTGAGCCAAGCAGTGATGAAGCCTGAGTTCTGGGACCACATAGGGTGGTCAACCACCCAGATTTGCCCAGGACTGACATGGAGGGTTCCATGATAAAACTGAGAGAGTTCCAGGCAAACAAGGATAGCTGGTCATCCCTGGTCCTTGTTAGATCCAACCACAGGACCATCTGCCTTTCCTTGTCAACTACTGCCTGAGGCATGCAGCCTGGAATTTTGAGGTCAAAGATATACCTCCATACTTTCACATCCAGCTCCTGAAGTGCCCTATAATTCAGTGCCCCCAAAGGCACCTGCTCCTGCCTGCCCTGCAATAGCAGGAACATTTCCAGGGTCCCCAGGCAGCTGTACCCAACATTCCAATCTTCTTCCATAGAGAGGCTCTGGGTTAGGGGAGACCTTGTTTACCCTTTAGTTTTCAAGTGCCTGCTAGCCCACTGCCAAGGACCACTCTTAGGATGTATGGCCTGGCCTCTGATTGAGAAGAGAACTAACAAGTTCCTGGGTCAGAAATCCAGCAAAACCCCCTTTGGCAGACACAAGTTTCCAGGCACACATTTCCCATGTAACTGAAACCCCCACAATCACTACCATATCTGGCAGCCTCTTTTTAAGCTCCAAGATCCCAACTGCTCCATTACAATGGAGCTGGCCTCCACTAACTGCCCAGGAATAAAGTAATTCCATGTTATTAAAGGTGTCAAATCACACAGTCAGCAAATGCTGAGTCTGATACAGTCAAGGAGTGGGGGAACCTGATCTTCAAAGTCACTAGTTTTCAAATCATTTTGATTTGAAACTAACTGCCCAGGAATAAAGTAATTCCATGTTATTAAAGGTATCAAATCACATGGTCAGCTAATGATGAGTCTGATATAGTCAAGGAATGGGGGAACCTGATCTTCAAAGTCACTAGTTTTCAAATCATTTTATAAGCAGCAGGATGCTAAATGCCAAAATGCAGAAAGAGAAAAAAATAAAGATGCTGGAAAGGAGGCGCCTGGGGCACATAAATTACACACTGTAAGTGCTCCCAAAGCTCCCAGAATGCCATCAGAAACCACCATCCTGGTCCTTTTAAACTCAGGAAATGTTTCTTAAGCTCAAAATAAGTGCCAGGCAGAGAAGTGTTACATTAGCTCCACAGGTGTGAAACCATTGTTCAAAGGACTAGAACATGTTTATGTTTCAAAACTGTAGATACTGAGATTGTTAAGATTTTCAGGTAGTCAGACTTGGGTATTAGCCATATGATTTGGGGTAAATTATTAAAAGTCTGACACTCAGATTTCATCATCTGTTACAAGGGAACAGTAATAACCTCCTCTCAAGCCAGAACCTCCCCACCCCTCACCAGGACACAGAGACACACACACAATTTTCATCAAGATTCAGTGCAATGAACACATAAGGTGTTTGGCACAATGCCTGGTGCATGCAACTGTTTAACAAACTCTACTACTACTATACAGAGGCTATTTATCAATTCAATCTTCAGTCTATATTGTGGGCACCATATAAGTCCACTGATTAACTTGCATGTGTGTCAGTTATTGATCTGCCTCTACTGCACGACTGTTGATAATAATGCTGAGCAACCAAGATAAGGCCTCCTTTCAGAGTTTTACCAGTCTCCCTGCAACCTATCACTAGGCTAGTCTCTCTTTATCATATCTTGTGTGTATATTATATTACCCAGTATCATCCTGTAATCATTTCATCTCCATAAGCCTTATCTCCTCAAGGACAGTTTTCACTCTTCAAAAGTGCAGCACAAGGCAGCTTGGCACACTGCTGCCCTACAGAAGACCAGCCTCAGAGGAAACTCTCTGAAATCAGTTGCATGGCTATGTCTGTGTTACTAATAGAAGAATTAATGCATTGTGCTAGCAATGTAGGGGGAGGGAAGCAATAATATGCACCTCTAGCAGTGTGCCTAAGGACCCAAGCACCAGCATGCCGCTGGCTGGATTACAATCAAACACTTCCCCTTACCCACTGTGTGACTGTGGGCAAATTGCCTAATCTAGTGAAATCTACCTTCTTGTTCTATAAAACAGGCATTGGGTCACTGTAAGAATTAATGAGATAGCTCAAATACAGTGTATAGTGCAGAACTTGGCATTGAATAAGTCCATATTTTTCAATAATTTTTTAATGTAATTATTATTATCATCATCATACTCTGCTTTCTAAGGAGTTAAGAGACAGTGGAGATACACTCACCTATGGAAATAATTCACAATTCAGAAAAGTGGGGAAGTGTCAAATGATCAATACAGCAAAGCCTTCACCTCACTCTGCCTTCTAAGACATGGTTATATCTAAACAATCTTACCAAGACAAGAGGGGGATAAAGACACTACAAAAATACTCCATTTCTAAATTGGAATTTGAAGCTAGAATATTAGATTTCCAGGTGGGTGGTGCTTGAGCTTATTTTAATTATAGAAAGCCAACTCATATTAATGATGTATTTAAAAAGATCATCATCTGATTTGCTCTAGAAACATTTGTTCAGCAACATGAGTCAATGTAAATATGAACCTCTTGGTCATAGAGTCAGAATTACCCTCACGTAAATCCCACCTCTGCCACTAACTGGCCGCAGATGACCTTGGCAATCACCAGCCCTTTTAGCCTCAGTTGCCTTATTTTTAAATTGGAATGTCTCTCTTAAAGAGTTTGCATAGAGAGTAAAATGCCTATTCATGTAAACAGCCTAGTACAGACTACCATGAGTGTTCATCAAACAGTATCATTTATTCCTGTGTTTTCTCTTAAGACGCAATTGTCCTCTGCAAGCCAGATCCCTGAGGTGTATGGTGGTGGGCTCCTGACAGGACTGTGGCTGAAACTGGATGGGGTACAGACTTGATGCCTGACCCTTGGCATACATGAGTTTGAATCCTGACTCAGCCTTTCATTAACTACGTGGCCTCAGGCAAGTTATCTGAACATCCAAGCTTCAATTCCTCATCTAAAAAAAACGTGGATAAAATTTGTACCTACATTCTAGGATACTGTGAAAAGTAAATGAATTCCTGCATGTAGGTGCTCAGAAAAGCCTTTACCCCATAATATATATTTAATAAATATTTAAGGTACTTGCTTAGTGCTAGTGCCTGAAAAAAAGGCATGGGTTCCTGGCCTGAGGAGCTAGTAAATGTATCAGGACGTTAAATGAAAACCATAGGAGCGGGTGTGGTTGCCAGTCAGAGGGAGTGACAGGTACAGTAAATGTGTGAATCTAGAGGACACACAAGGGACCTAAGAACAGGCAGAGGCCCTTCACCTCAAGGAGCTCTTTGAAGGGGTCACACACACACGCACACACACACACGCACACACAGTCAGAGAACAATCCTGTATAAGGTCGCACCCTCAGCGTCCAGGCTGGGTCCCAAGGCCACCACAAACATACTTGTTTTAGGAATGGTAGGAAGGTACAGAGTCTTGTGAGACATCCCAGGGCCACAGAGGCTCCCATGCAGGTAAGTCTCAAGGACACAGGTGTGATGGAAATATTGAAGGCATGAGGCAACGAGCCAGCCCTGCCCCATACCCAGCCTCAGCCCTGGCCTGGCCCCGGGACTCCTCTGCAGATGGCTCCCCAGTGGCCCGCTGCCTTCTTGGTGCACTCCCCTCCCTCAGGTTTTCAGACTCTGCTTCCTGGCTCCTCCACTGCCCTGGCAGTGGCGGTGGGCTCTTTCCCCACCCTGGGATGTGGGTAGCTATCCCACCCGACCCCTCATAGCCCCCACAGGTCCTTATCCTTAAGGAGCTACTAGGAGAAGTCAAGGAGACAAGCTTGTGTGAACGCACTGACAAAGCTTAGGGCTGTTGCCTTCTCTGAGGATGTCAGCCCCAGGCAGCTGGGCTCCACACCGGGGAGTGGCCTTTGACTACTAACTCTCCCTGCCCACCACATGTGCCCTGGGCCCAGCCCTGTGCTCTAGCAGCCACCCATCAGCCCCCACCCGCCTCCCTATGCTGCTGCTGATGTGCATTCTGCTCACACCCCTCTAACACTCTCAGTTCCTCCCCACTGCCTACTGAAGAAAGACTGTGTTTTAGGCGTGCAATACAAGGCCTTCTGATCTAGCTCCAACCTACCTTCCAGCTTCCATCTCCACCTTGACCCTTTTCTCCATTTGATTAAATCACTTCCTGGGGGGTGCTTCATGAAATACAGATTCTGTATCCAAATAAGGGGATTAAACAAAGCTGGACAGGTTCTTTTTGCACAACTCTGAGCCTTTAATACCTTAATATGCACTGTGGCTCTTCAGTCTCCCAAGCTAATTGGCACTTCTACTTTCACAGACTTCAAGAAACAATCTAGGACAATGTGGACCACACTGTTTCTCCAGCAAGCCTGTGGAGAGTGCCAGTTAGAGGTCCAGAGCGTAGCTGCTGAGGCCTCTGGCTGTGACCATCCCAGGCACACTGTGCTTCCTCACTTCCACTACATGCAGCTGCAGGGGGACTGTACGATCCCCAACTGAGCAGTGGAGCCTTTTTCAGCACATGGATGGAAAACAAACGGCTGCCAAATATGCGCTGGTCGGGTTGACAAAGATTTACTTCTACTTTGTCTACCAAGGCTGCCCACTTTCCCAGTCTTGTTTGCCCCATCTCACAGACTTTCATTAAATTCCCTGTATGTCTGAAATAGCTAGAGTTGGTTTCCAAGGCCTGACACCAAAGAACTTTCAGTGATTCATAGTTCTTTGGGTGCCTGAGCACAGCCACCCAAATCTCCCACCAGCAATAGCCACCCCCCAGCGGCAGCACCTGTCCCATCTGGAGTGGACCTCACGAAGGTGGGCAGCATTTTCACAGAAGCAGTAGGGTGGGTGGTGGCTCCAAGCCCTTTCTCCATCTCCTTGCGGAACCGCTTAGAGATCTCCAGAAGGGTCTCATCAGAAAGACGCATATGGTAGAGATACTGGTCAACCTGAAAGAGGGGGAAAACAAGAGGAGAGGAGAGGCCTGCAGGTTAGATTATGGTGCACATCCATGTCATGGAATGCCAATCAGCCCTTCAAAATAATAACATGCTATGTTCAGAAGGTTATTGTTAAAGACCATTTAACTGGAATCTATTTGACAAGACTTTGTCTTTAAAAAACTAAAAATTAAAATTAGAAAAATAGGTTTAATTTTAGTTCTGGAGAATGGTGAAGACCAGGGAAAAGGCATATTAGTCAAGAGGAGAGTCCTTTTCGGAAAGGTTGAGTTTACATGTCTATGAAAACATCCCTGGAACTGGAATTCATTACCGACCCTCATCTCAACTCCCCACACACTTCGAGCTCTGGCTGCACCAATCCCATCACCCCTCACCCTAGGCCAAGCACCCACCACTTCTTGCCTGGACTTGTACAACTCCAATTCTGCAAACTTGTACAACCCCTTCCATCTATGCCCCATCCCACAGCCAGACTCTACTATTCCCCCTGCTTAAAGTCTTTCAGCAGCCTCCCATTAGAACCAAACCCAAAAATCCTTCCAGAGCCCCAAACGGTCTGTTGTCTCCTACTTCCCAATCTCACTGACTCTGCAGTCCTTGCACAGACTACCCTTGGCTCAGTCACCTGCTCACCCAGCTCGCCCCTCCCCACCTTGGGACCCATGCACATTCCTTGGGACCCCACAGTTCCTTATTTACCCCGTTCTTCATCCACCAACCTCTTACCAATGCTTCAGGCCTCTTTCCGCCAAGGCCTCTTCTGATCCTCTTAATGAAACAGGCCTCCCATGACGCTAAGAATTTGGACATTCCCCTTCCCAGTACCATCCACAATTTGGAAATACATATTTATTAGTATCTGAATCACAAGCACAAAAGGCAAGAAGAACCATGGCCACTTACTTGCCCTGTAGCCCCAGCACAGTGCCCAACACATAATAGCGTCTCTACAGAAGCAGTAACAAACCTCTCCTGTCCTCAGAGGCAGACACAGCTCTCCCTGGTTATTTCACTAATCTTGTTTCCAACATAAAGTCACAGGAACTTTTCTCAAGCTTAACACCAGCAGAAGCAGCAATAGGAGTCCTTCTCAGGTGGTTTCCCTCTGGGAACCTCCCATCTGCCTTGGCCACGGATATTCTCAGTTTTCTCCTATCAGGAGAAGGCCTGACAGAAATCCTTCCAGGGAGGCACACAAGTGTCCACGCCATGCCCATCCTTGGAGCGATGGTGGACAGGGGAGGCTGCTGGTCATGGGATGGTGGGGGTAGAGACTCAGGCACTCTGGGCCAAGCTGCAGCTCTGCCCTCAAGGTGTAGGGGTCTCAGTCCTTCCGGCCTCATCAGCAAAGTCAGGGGTGACAAGGGACCTGCTCTTCCCAGCTCTGAAACTCCAGGATCGCCAAGGGCAAAGCTTGGTGGTGACCGCTGCCACTGTTATTCCTGTGGGAAACCCTGTCAACACCCACCCATCCCTCACCCATGCCCAACTCTGTCAAAGGAGCACAGATTTTTACAATTAGCTTTCTAAGACAAATGTGCTCATTCATTATTACAGCCTATTATATATGTTCCAGCACTTTCTTCCTGAAAATTTTTTTAACCAAAACTTGCAGCCTAGGATTTCCAGGGGAATGGCAGAAGGTATTTAATCCTCTAAGGAAAGAACAATCCTGGTGCCTTCCTTTGCGAATGACAAAGGACAAAAACAAAACAACATAAGAGACGGTCCCCTTAAATCTTCTCTCTTCCAGGATGCATCCTAACTCCCTGTGGGGTGTGGGCCACATCCTTCTCTCTGGGCCTGTTTCTGCCCCTGCAGAATGGATTGGCCCTCCTCACACCATTTCACTTATCCTAAATCAGTACTAATCTTTGATCCTTCCTCTAACATCCCAACGCAGAGTCTAGAGTAAAGTGCTGAACACAGCAGTAAGAAAGCAAAGGCCAGTGTGGGAATGGGCCACATCTGTCCTCTCCACAACTGTCACCTGGTTAAAACACGACAAAAATGACAGATTTGGGAAGAGAAAAGGCCCTTGGCCACTTCTCCACTCCCTCCCCAGACAACAGAGGGACTAGGCTTGCCACACTGGGTTTCCAATTTGCAGAAAAGAGAATTCCCCTGAACTCCATTGTTGCCAGCATTTATCAAAGAGCTTCTGCAGACTAAATCTGTCAGTCTGAATGAGGAAGAATCCAACCATCTATTCTGTTTTCCGATTTCAGGCTCCTGGAATCTCACTTGCCTCAGGCCCACTGTCTGCCCCAGCCTCCCAGGGCTGTGGGGCACCAGTCCCCACCCCAAGCCGGGTCCCTACTCTGGATTTCCTATGATAATGAGGAACCACAGTGTTCCTGAGGAGGCCCAGCTTCCCCCCACTGTGACGATAGAGGATCCCCAGGGGGTAAAAGGGCACAGCTTTAGCCCAACACCACACACACACCCTTCCTTTTGGTAGGGGGCAAATCGCTAGTGATGCGGGGCCCAGGGCAACTTTAATGCTCCCAGAGGTCTCCTGCTCCAGATGCAGTGACACCTGGGCTGGCTCAGGAATGCTGCCTTATGGCTTACACATCTCAGTGTTAATGTACAAAGTCCAGGGCCACTAGACTGGAGGCCAATGCCAGGCCATGTCCAGGATCAGCCTAAGATGTCCTGATGTGCAACAGTAGTAAAAGCAAATCCTTCCTTAGCACTGACTCCATTTTCAAGGTTTCCCACCCATTACCTCATTAATCCTACAACAGCCCAGTGAGGGACGCAGTGTTATCACCTTCATTCTACCAAGAGGGGAAGGCAACATTCCCAGTCACACACACAAAGGGTAGAGGTGGGACAGGACTGGGCAGCCTGGCTCACCTGTGCTCTTGTCCACTCTGCTAGATGAATGCCCCTCTTCTGATGGACAACAGCAGGGCCTACACAGGCCAAACAGCCCGGAAGTGCACTCGGGCGGGCCACGTCCATTAGAAGGCCATCTTCTAGGCCAGGCATGCCCTGGCGCAGACACGAAGGGCAAACAGCAGAGGGCTGGGTGCCCTGCCAGGGTGGAGCCCAGCAGGTGCAACAGACGCATCTCTGCACAGTCATGAGTTTAACCATGACAAGGTTGGAGCACCCACATTACTACTTTCCCTAAGAGCAAAGGAGAGTGCCAGAAGCCTCAATACCCCACTCCCACCCACTTAGACAGCTCTGGGTGTTGCAACAGAAGCAGAGAGTTCCTGCATGGGAGAGCAGAGCCAGACTGCAGTGTTAAGAGGTTGCACCATCACTTCTTGGAGTGGGAGGCCACATACACAAAACAGCAAAGGCAGAGTGGCCACAATTCCTCAGTGGCCATTCTTAGTTTGACTTTGATGCTTAAGCAGTGACATGGCTTGTTGGGAATCCAGTTGGCACTCCCCATCCTTAACCCTCAAATAATATAACAAGTTAACATTTGGCCTTTACCCCAGCGATGGTGCCCTTTACCCAATAGATTATAATCATTTTTAGTTCAGTGACAGATGAAGATGAAGATGATCGCTACAGTAGCTAAACATTTACCAAGCATTTTTTACCTGCCAGACACCATCCTTTGGCTTTACTCACTTGACCTCTATTGTCCCTTTGTAAAATCCTATATCCCTGCTTTACAGGTCACTTGGTGGTGAGGGCAGGGCTATGATGCAAACTGAGGTGTGTCTGGCTGTAAAGCTAAGCCCTTGGGGCTGGCCCCCGCCCTGTCCTGTGGGCCCACGGCAGGCACTCTGCCCTGTGGTTTCCGGGATGACCCCAGGGCCATGAGTTCCTCTCTGTCACATGAGAAGAAGAGAAATGGTATAGGATAGCTGTGTGAAATGCAGCTAGAGCACCTCAAGGCAGACTTCCCCCTTCACAGCAGGATGATATATGTATCCACCTGAGCTTATTTGGGCCACTCAGGAAGGCGTGATTAATCACTAATGTCACAGCTTCCTAAACACACCGCTGGGACACACCCAGCCTTGGCGAGCACTGCTCTGCTGGGTAAAGGGTGGCCAAGGGAAGCAGAAGTCGGAAACAAGCAGCAGCCTCCACACAAAGACAGTTTTCCTGGATTGAGAGGGAAGTGAATGCACTGGTAGGAATCCTGCCAACGTTCACCCACAGTGCAGCCAGAGCAGAGAGCACCAGGCCCAAAGTCGGGGGACAAAGTCATTTAGGAGACACCCAATGTGCCTGGGACAGGAGGACTGCGGCAAAAACAAACTCTCAGAAAAGCCTGTGGGACAGCAAGGTGAAAACCTCACTGAACTCAGGCAGCTCTCAGGTTTGTCCAGTTAGGCCCTCCCAACCTGACAGTCATGGGGCCTAAGTTTGAATGCGTCCAAGCATGACAGGCTCCCTAGTTCTCCAAGTGGGTTACCTCCCATTGTAAATCAGCTCTAATGGTTAGAAAGCTTATCCTCAATCTGAGATAAATCTTTCGGATAACTTCTTCCTGGTCTCCATTCTGCCACTTGGGATATGAGTTCCCAAACGTGGCTGTACATCAGGATGACACTGACATGAGGAACTTTGTGAAAATATTAAGAATTCCAAAGATCCACTCTAGACTAACCAAACTGACACCTTTGGGGCTGGTGCTCAAGCAACCACCCCTCTCCCTAGCCACCATGCCAATAATGTGATGGGCTGGGCTCCAGCAATACTACTCAAGGTCATTTTTACCATTTTTCTGCCAAGGGTCTTTGAAAATCAGTAGTTAAGGTGTTAAGCTATGTGTGGAAGAATCCAGTGTTGATCCTGGTGCTGAAAGTTGGAAAGACAAGCCCTATACTTGTTGGAAACAGACTTAAGTTGTTGGAAACATCAAAGCAGAATCATTCAGGCCGACCCGCATGTCGTAGCTAGTAGTGGTGAACTGCAGGCTGTGGCCAGGAAACTCAGTGCTCAAATCCTGGCTCTAGCATTTGGGCAGGTGTGTGACATTGGATGACTCACTCAGCACCTGAGCC